CCGCGGCCCCCCGCCGTCCGGCCTCGCCTGGCCCTGCTGGGGCACACGTCGCTGGAGGAGAGCTGGACCCGCTGCGGGCCTGCGGGCGGCCCCTCCGCACCGGGGACAGAAGCCCCCACGTGCATGTTTGTTCTTCAGCGACCCCTGGGGGCAATTTGAAAGCAAAACCGTAAAATATAAACCAGACGGTAAATCCGGATCGCTAGGAGACGCGGTGCTGGACATCCGCGGCCCCGCCCCAGCAGCCCCGGTTGTAGCAGGAGGCCACCTCTGCGGATAGTTCGGTAACACGAGCTGTCCAGAGCGTCATGGGACCCCCGGGCACGGCGTCGGGTCAGGCAGCGCTGTTCAGCCGACTGTCCGGTGTGACCCGGGAGGAGAGCGTGAAGCCCCGGGCAGGATGGTGGGCTGCTCTAAGCTTCTCACCAGAACGATGTGTTTAACTGAGGGGTCCCACCCATTACCACGTCTGTTAGAGGGGAACAGAGGCTTCGTGTACTCAGGATTTAAAATGTGCAATTAAACATACATACCTGATAAAAAAATACAAAGAAACATTCTTTAATGGCACTGTAACTAATAAAAATGCAAACAATACTCAGCTACAAAGAATAAAAAAAGTCACTTGGAGAAAATTAGTAATGCCGTTTTCTCTGTGAACCCACGGCAATGGGCGGGAGCTGCCTGTGCCCCTCTGCCCTTGGGAGTGGCCCTCCTCTGCGGGGACGAGCTTGCTGGGGCCTGGAGACAACACCTGGAGGGAGTCGTCGGTTCTCGGGGGCACAGGATGCAGAGGACCCGCCCCAGCGTGCGGGCGAGGCTGCAGGAAACCAGCCTGGAGCCTTGGCACACGGTGGTGACAGGTGGCACGCAGCTAGGCCGCCTGCTCTCAGGACAAGGGAGGCTGGGGTGAGCAGACAGCGGCCCCACCACCAGGGGGCGGCCAGCTCTTGGTCCTTCCCAGCCTCCGTTCTAGGGCCCCGGCGGGGACAGTGCCCTTAGACAAAAACGGCAAGACGGTCCGCGCACCCACCGCAGCCCCTGCACGGAGGCGGAGGCGAGGCCGCTGACTGCAGGGACCCTGGGCTCACCAGGTGTGTCGTGGGGACACCTCCATGGCAGTACCTTGTCGGAGGTGCTGGGAGGACCACTCGGAGACGGCAGGGCTAACTGTGCTTCTGCCAAGCGACCAGCCGGCTGTGGAGGGTCAGGCGACCTTGCTACCTGGCAGAACCAGGGTCACTGTTCCCCTGCTGGCTGCCGTGCCGCGGTGAGGAGCATCCCCACTGGGTGGAAGAGCTAAGTGTGGCACTGTCCAGACACCTTTCTGCGCAGTGGACCCGTCACCACCATTTTCTTGGACAAGCGGGAGACCATGTCATTATCAGAGTCTGCAGAGCACTGTGTGGTTGCAGGGGAGGGATGCGGACTGCGCTGTCCCCTCCTGCTTAGCTCATCTGTCACCATGAAAGGTTCCATGCGCAGAGGCCTCACCCGCTCCGAGAGACCCAAAGGCCGGGTCATCCCTGACCACGGCCGCTCTCCCTGGTGCAGGTGAGTGGCGCTGCCACCCGCTGTCCTGCCCGCTGCTGTTGGAATGCCTGCTCGGGGAAAGGCCAGGTGTCCTTCCAGAACTGACCCACGTGTGCCTCGTGCCCACTGCAGCGTCCTTCGTGCCCACAGACGAGGGGGACCCCAACCTGCTGGCGCCAGGAGGCACCGGCCGCTCCGGGCCTGGTCAGGTACCTGCTTCCCCAGAGGGGACTCCAGGCCCGATTCCGCCACTACCTTAGGGCCACAGGGGCTTCTGACTGGGTGGGGTGGGCGTGGGTCTTTCCTTTCCCTCCGCGGCTGATGGGCGAATACAGCCCCCCAACTGGAGACACTTCTCCAGAAAGTCGCCTAGCCGAAAGAGGCTTGCTGGTCCCATAGAGTCGGGGTCTGTACTCGAAGTCGAGGGTGGCGGCTCCTCTAACGTCTGACTTCAGTGCATCAGACTGGCTTTAGGCGGCCGTACTGTCTGACTGAAAGATTCGAAGGTGAGCTGCAACTGTGCAAGGAGGGGCAAGCACGGCCAAGGTCGATTCCTCCGAACTGGGGAAAAACAACTTGAAATCTTTAATGAAAAAAATCAAAACTAAAAGTGAAACCACCACCACAGCACACCTAAAGGACGGCTAAGTTTAGACCCTGTGTCTAGCCCGTTCTGACGTCGAGGCAGTCGCTGGTTCTCTTGCCGCCTGGAGCCTGCTGCACTGCCCTGTGTGTGACTTCCCAGGCAGGAAACGAGTGGGCGGGCGGAGATTCCCAGACTGGCTTTCCTGCTGCCAGGGAGGCACGCTCTGAAACCAACCCTTTCTCCTCCTTCTAGAAGTAACTGACGGGGTCGGCGTGGTTCTAACTGTGGCTCGGTTTCCTGAAGAGACTGCGACACTGGGGGGCTGAGCGGGGTGGGGAGAGGTGGGGCCCACAGAGCCCGGCTGCGTGTGGGGGACACCTCTCTGTGCTCCGTGGCTGTATCCGCTTCACTCTCAAGGGGTCCAAAGGGCTGGATCAGTGCCAGCGGCATGCTGGGGAAAAGCGTTGGTTTCAGACGGGTCTCCACGGTGGGAGCCTCAGGCTGGCCGGGGGCTGCAGAGCGTGGCTGGGTCCCGGCGAGGCGGTGCTGGGCACTGTGGTCAGATGTCCAGGGGGCTGACGATGGTGAAGCCAGAGTCCCTGCTGTCATCGTCAGGGCTGGAGCTGGGGTTGCTGGAGGACGTGGAGGCCGGGCCCATCAGCGGGTCCGAGAAGGCCAGGGAGGAACAGGCTGGGGCCGGGCTCTTCCCAGATGTGCTTCTGAGGGTGCGAAGAGGCTGAGCCTGGCTGGGGAAGGGCCCCCTGGCACTGCCCCCCTCATCTTCTTTGGAGACCAGGATGAAGTCATCTGAACTCCCTCCATCTGCAGGCCCCGGGGTCTCCGAAGAGGCCTATGAAGCAGAGAGTCAAGTGGAAGGAAGGAGAAACCGGCAGAGACCTGAGAGGGGCTCGTGAGCTGAGCACGCTGCACCGCGCTCCATGCGCATCTCAGGAGCTGAGGCCCTGCGGCCCCGAAGCCGGGCACCTCCTTGCTGCGCAGGGCCAGCGGCATCGAGAGATGCTGGCTTCCCAGGGGAACGGGGCCACCTCCTGCTGCTAAGCTGCAGAGAAGGCAGCATCTATGCTGCTGGGGCGAGCCGGGCTCACAGGCCAGCCAACGGGACCCTGCCGTGCAAACCCCTCTGTGAAGTGGAGGTACACGCTGTCTCCCACCTTGTGGGCAGGCACGCTGCCATCAGATGGCGTGTGTGCACACGAATCACAGTGGACCGGCTGGAAGGACAAACGGAAGCAGAGAACCGTGGTATGACCACGCCCGTCAGGGGTGTTTTCTCTCTCTCTCTCTCTCTCTGGCAAATGCACATGCTCCTGGCTAATTTAAAGAAAAGAGAAAAAGAAAAAAAAAAAGGGGAAAATTCTTTTCTTTTAAATTTGCTATAAGGCACGTGCTCTCTGGAAAGAGACTGGGAGAAAGAGGAGAGAAGGCACTCCAGGGGCGGCCAGGCTGTGAGCGCCTTCTCTTCCGCCGGGGGTGCGTGTGTGCCCAAAATCCCAATAGGAGAATGGAGGACGAGGGACTGCGGAGTGGCCATCCTCCCTCGGGAGTGATTTCTCACTTCCTCTCTCACTCTGGTAAGCCCACAGGCCCTACAGCCAGATTTAACAAAGAAAGACAGGAAAGAGACAAAGGGACCCAGGACATTTTCATGCAGCCTTACAAGGAAGTTAACCACAGAGTTCTCTTAATACCTTCAAATACCTTCAACACTGGGAAAGAAACCTTTCTAACATATTATTTTGCTGTTTTAAAATCACACAAAAAGTAAATATGAGTGTGTGGATGCTAGTTATTGAGAAAATACCTTAGATAAGATTTGGATTTTTTAAAATTTAATTATTATTATTTTTTTAGGTTTTTGCCAGGACTACATGCACTTTGGGGACAAAGTGAGAGGGAAAGTGAGAGGCCCCCCCAGTGAGGATGGCCACGCTGTGACCCTGTCTCCGTCCTCCTCCTGAGGTTTTGGGCATGCATGCTCCCGCACCTATCGTGATTTTTAAGATACTGGGTCTGAGACTCGAATGGTGCCAGCCATGTGGGAGTCCAGCCCCTTACCTGCTAACCCCTAGTGTTCATTTTTTCAGATTCGACTCTGCAAGCCGATTTTTAGAGCGTGTTCTGGGGCGGACGGTGGTGCAGCGGTAACCACACTCCGTGAGGTGGAGTAAAAGGCACCAGGGTCATGCGCGGAGACGTCTGAGTACGCATGCGTGTGCCCATGCTCCAGGCTGGCTGAGCCGGGCTGGGTGGGGATCACGGTGCCAAGACTTTCCAGGGTGCTGTGTGCCTGTCTCTCTCACTCGTGAAAAAAAAAAATCTTAAAAAATAAAAAAAGACCTGCTATGGGAGCTGTTCATATCGTTCATTCATGGAAGAAATGAACTTTGCAAGGAGCGTTATTAGGGATGTAAACGCAGGTGGGAGATGAACACCCTTAGTCCTATCAGACAGCACGCCGAGCAGCGGCAGGTGGAAAGGCTCGCCGGGGTGGGGCAGGGGTGCAGAAAACCCGCAGCCTGGTCTCTGTGCTCTGGCCTCTCTTCTCATCAGTAAAACAGCAGACGGGGCTGAGAACATGAGGAAGCGCTGATTTGTCTGGCTCAGAAAGCCAGTGGTTCTGTGTGCAAATAAATGACACACGAGGCTGAGATCTCAGAGCAGGAGTTGGCGCGCCGTGGCCATCCGGTCGGAGCCTGACTTCACGTGGCTCTCAAGTCAAGACTGGTTTACACATTGCGTTTTAAGGTTTGTGCTGTGAGGTGTGTGCACTTGCTGGAGAGACAGAGACAGAGACAGTGAGAAATCACTTCCCAGGGGCATGGCCAGCCACAGTCCCTTCTCCTTCTCCTACTGGGATTTGGGACATGCACACACACAAGCCTGCTATAACTTTCAAGCTGCCAGGTCCAGGACTCGAACTGTGGTCGTCCAGGTGGGAGTCCAGCAACGCCTGCTGGCCAGCTTATACGTTTTTAAAGGGTCCTAAAACAAACAAACAAACAAACAAATCAAAAAAACAAACAAACCAAAACAACCTAAGAATGAACAACAAAGAAAAAGTAAAGGAAGTCAGACAGACGGTCACAGGTGCCTGCAAACCCTGAAATATTTACTACGGGCCCTTCACGGAGCTGGTGCGCTGACCCTGCACGGGGTGGGTATTAGTGAGAAGTCCTTCCCCACGAAGGCATGAAGGTGATTGTTGGCAGAAACGTTTCTAGCCAAGTGTCCTGTTGCCCAGGGCAGCGTTAGGAAGGCAGGGACAGCGCTCCCTGTGTGAACGGGAGCTGAACGGGAGCTGAGCGTGAGCTGGCGGCAGCCGATCGGCACTGGGCCGGCCCTGGCTTTCCGATCCCATGGCTGGGCATGCATGTGCTCCTGCACGCGGGTGTGGGCGGTGCACTGCCCAGTGCTAAGGAACGCCGACCTCGTCACCATGTGGACAGCACCTGTCCCCGCGGGCGTGCACCCTGCGTAGCTGCACAGCGCCCGGCTCAGGCTGCTGGTGTCTCCTTGCTCAGCAGCACGCCCCGTGACCAGAGGGAACCCCAAAGGGTCTCTGCTCTCCCTCCCTTGGAAGACGCGGTGCGTGCCTGTCCATCGTGTGCCCTCAGACTCCCGTACCTTTGAGCTGGCCCCAGGCACCTGCTCTCGCGGGCCCCGGCCCTGGCTCCGGCCCCCGGAGCAGTAGTGGTCATCCGCGATGGTGATCTCGTCCTCCTCGGCCTCCAGCTGGCTCTGGTTGAAACGCAGCGAACCTTTGAGGATGTCTTTGATCTAGTTTTCAAAGAAGAAGACAAGAAATGGAAGAGATGAATGAGGTTATTTTACATGCCAGCTCAACCCCTGTACACGTGCATCAGACTTGTCATTGACCTTCTGTAGAAACAGTACGGATGGTAACATTTTACTATAAAAAAGAAACAACGGACACTCGAAATCCGACAGTGTCAAGGCTGCCAACTTAGCAGTGACCAAGGACAGTCTCGGGGCGTCACTGGCCGGGTCCTCGCAGGGCGGGCACAGTGGCCACTTCCTGCATGGCCGCTTCATGGCAGGGAGGCCGCTGCTTTCCTGGCCCCCGCCCCTCGCACGAAAAAAAAAAGAAGAAGAAAAGAAATGGAAGAGATGAATGAGGTTATTTTTACATGCCAGCTCAACCCCTGTACACGTGCATCAGACTTGTCATTGACCTTCTGTAGAAACAGTACGGATGGAAACATTTTACTATAAAAAGAAACAACGGACACTCGAAATCCGACAGTGTCAAGGCTGCCAACTTAGCAGTGACCAAGGACAGTCTCGGGGCGTCACTGGCCGGGTCCTCGCAGGGCGGGCACAGTGGCCACTTCCTGCATGGCCGCTTCATGGCAGGAAGCCATCTGCTTGCTCGCCCCCTGCACTGAGCAGCCATGACCCCGAGGGCCCAGCACGGGGAGACAGGAGGGCCCACTCCTCTGGCTGCACCTGTGTCCATCAGACTCCCAGGGCTGTGTCCATGTGGCCCTTGCGGCTCTGAGGCTGCTGTGGGGTGTGGCCGTGACCTGTGCTCCACGGACACTCACGTACTTATGGACAGAGGACTTCATGAGACGCTGGCTTTGGTGAGGCACAAAGACCCCTCTCTTACCAGAACAGGTCTGTCAAGAGAGAGGCAGCGTGGCAAACAAAACCAGCCTGGGCTGCAAGGTGGCCAGATGCGGCCCCAGCAGGAGCTGGGCACGGAGGGCGTGAGGCGGACGGGCCCGCTCAGCGGAGTGAGGGGCTGGGCTCTGACACTGCGGTGCCCAAGCCCTAGGGCCCCCTCCTCACAGCACAGAGGCCTGCGGGATGCAGAGAAACCACTAGAAGAAAGCAAGTACCTGTTTTAATCCTGCCAGGGAAACCAGAATTTGATCTTCTTTTTCCAGGTTTTCTTGTAATATCACATCTTGAATATTTACTGAAAATAGAAAACTGACATTTTATAACGAATGCTCTGAGTATAACTTACCTGCTGCTGCACTATACCTTCAGACAAAACTGGGATTTTTTTCCTGCCAAATTTCAGGGCAACTACTCGCTCCAAGGACGTGGTGCAGACCACAGATGGGGAAGCTGCCGGTCAGGGCCGGGGCGGCACCGCGCCCGCACGCGCCCGCTCCCTACAAGCACAGGGGAGACCCTGAGGGCGGCACGGCAGGGCCCCCTCGCAGAGGCGCGATGGCCCGGCAGCCTGGAGCGTGTGGTGGTCCCTAGGAGGATGCCGTCGGCCTGTGGGACCTGTACTGCCTCGAGGTTCAAAGGTGTCAGCTGAGCCCGCTGAAGACCGGCAACTCTGAGTGATTAAAGACACTGTGGCCGAGGATGCGACAGTCAGCCACGCTCCCGTCTGAACATAACAGCAAAAGCAAGAGGAGAAAATCACAGCCCCACAGGCCGCTGGGAGGTGGCACCTCTGGAGCCAGCGTGACATCATTGGAGTCTTGGAAGGAGCTGGTTCGCTGTCCTCCAGGCTCTGGCTCCACACGGGAAGCCTCCCCTCAGCCCTGACCTCACGGCCACATCACGCAGGGTGGCCAACACGCTGAGGCCCTCAGTGCTCACACACCTGGGGACAGTCCCCCACCTGGGGCTGGGGCTTCCTGGGGTGGGCTCGTCGGGGGACTCCCCGGGGTATGTACGGGACAGTGAGTTCCAGGGCGGGAGGGGAACGACACTGACATGTACAGGGAGGGACCATGATCGCCAGGGGGTCCACGCTGCACGGACACGTCCACCTGCTGTCACCGCGGCCGTAGAAGGTGTCTTCCGGGCCACAGTCTTAGTCATGGTCAGCGAGGCTGTCCCAGTCCCATGGGGGTCCCTACAGCTACTGGAGGGGACGGTCACTCCTGACTGGTTGCTCACACCTCCTCTTCCCACCAGGGGCTGGGGTGAGGCTGGGGCGGGGCGGTGGTGGAGCCAGCTGCACCCCACTGCAGGCCCTGCTCCAGCCTCTAAGCAGACCAGCTGCCCGGGCACACCAGCGTCATCCCCTCAGGGGTCGTCCTGCCCACCCAAGCTGAAGCCGACCCCAGGCCAGTCTCACCTCTCACACCCCCTCTGTTTTACTCTGTTTAAAAGCACGGGGCCAGCAGATGGCTCAATAGCTACGTCGATGGACTCCCACATAGTCGACCGCGGTTCGAGTCCTGGACCTGGCGACTTGAAACTCACACCGGGTGCACGTGCGTACATGCACAAAGTCTTGAGAATGGAGGAGATGGGACTGTGGTGTGGCCATTGTCCCGGGGTGGGGGGTGATTTCTCATTTTCTGTCTCTCTGGGGAGTGCACATGCTCTATAGCAAAAATCCCTTAAAAAATAACTTAAAGCAGCAGTCACTGCCGGCCGCGGCCGCGTCTCTGCTGTCCACCTGCCCTAAAGGACACGAGGTCCGAGACGACCTTGCCTGGGCTCTAGCTGCGGCTCTTCGGAAGACGCACGCCGCCTGTAGTATGTAATACACACGCAGTTACTGACTGACGAGCGCGAACACAGTGGGGCCCTGCACGGCGGAATGGCCATTTTAAATCTCCCCCATGAGTTTCCCAGCCAGGGGCAGGGGAAGACGGACGTGCACGTGTTTCCAGCCCGAGGGGATTAGGACTTCGAGAACGGTCTAGGAGCTGTGGCAAGTCCCCTTACACGCCGAGCGGAAAACAGCAGCTTGTATTTATGGAGAAGACGTGAATATAGTTTTGGCTAACAGAAAGCCTGCTCCCCAACAAGCTAGCAAGCTGAATGGGGACGGAACAATAGATATAATTAGCGAGCAAATGTTTTCGGTTTTCTTAAAAGCCTGTTACAATTTGTTCTCTCTCAATAAAGAAACAGAACAGAATCCACTCAGTGAGACAGCAACAATACACCGCAAAAAACTGGTAAGCCCGGGTTCTGAGGTCTTTCAGAGGCTCGGGGAAGGTGGCTTCTGCTTCCATGGCTGCTGGGAGGGCCCGAGCCAAAGAGCAGGGCATCTGAGTAGCCCTACGGCCGCAGGCTTGTCCCCGGAGTGCAAGGCGGGGTCAGGGTCCCAGCCTGGGGTTCCTGGGGTCCAGGAACTAATGGGGGGCTGCCTCTGGAGGCTGTACCCAGAAAGCAGGCCAGTGAAAAGGGGAACCCTGCAGGAACCCATCCTGCCTGCCTCGTGAAGAGTGTGCCGAGGAGCACGCCCCAAAGCAAGAAGATCTGGTCGCCCGGCTTCTTCCTGCAAAGTAACGGTGGGGCCATGTCAGCCGTCACCAGGACCCTCGGCGTCAGAGGCTGCAGACCCACGGGGTAGTCAGTGGCTCTGGTAGGGACTGAGGTTCAGCTTCCCAGAGGCTGGCAAAGACCTAGGGCCCTCGGCCTTTTCCTCAATAGCAAAGAGACACGTGAGCCCGGCCCGGGACCCTGGTGCCATTTTGGCCGGCGGGGAGAGAAGGCCGGCTGGGCTAACTCCCAGGTATTCGCTCGGATGAAATGATCAACCCCTAAGAGACTGAGCTGCCTTTACCTGGCGAGTGTAAGCCCCTGGCTCGCCATCAGTGGGAAGGGAACATCGTAGCAAGATTTCTGCACACCTGGGGTAGGTGCACAGACAGGTCACCCAGTGCGGGAGCTGCCAAGTCTATGCAAGACCGCACAAGATCGTCCCGGCCACACTTCCCGGGCCTGCAAACCAGGCCGTCCTCGCCACCCTCTCCCGACTGCCGGAGGTGGTGGAGCCTCCCACAAACCCTCCGCTTGGGGCAACCGTGGGGCTTACAGGATTTGAAAAGGCAAAAGACAGGGGTGTGGTGGGAAGCCAGGACAATAGAACGTCTTCCCGGCCTTTCAGATGCGCTTCCCTGGGAATCATGCCCCCTGCACCAAGGTCGCCCCATCCAGGGCTCCCACTTGAGCAGAGCAAAGCGGCCTGCCAGCATGACCCTCCCCGCGCACTGTGCAGAGCTGTGGGGGGACGGTCACCCCCACTCCGGCCCCACCCCTTCTCCCGGCCGCCCCACTTCGTTCTGGGCAGAACTGTGCCTGCAAACCTTCCTGTTGCCAGGCTTACCATGTGGCCCAACCAGGGCCAGGGAGGCGTGGGGGAAGTCCCTGGGTGGAGCTTTCCAGGGGATGGGGCACTAGCAAGGAGAGGGAGACACCCTGTAATTGCCGAAGGGACTACACTCAAGAGTCTCATCCACCAAGTCTCGCGGCGACTCCACAACTGTAATGAAATGTCCATACCACGAAGATCGCTCTCCACCTTTCAGGGTAATGGAAACGGCACACCAACTACTTTTTCAATTTCTTAAAAACTTTTTTCAGGGCCAGCAGGTGGCGTGGTGGTTAAAGCGGCTGAACTCTCACACGACCAACTGTGGTTCAAGTCCCAGACCCAGTGGCTTGGAAATCATGGCGGGCACATGTTTGTGGGGGCCCAAAATCTTGAGAGAAGAATAGAGGAGAAGGGACTGTGGCCAGGCCATCTGGCTCCCCGTGAGAGGGGGCGATTTCTCACTTTCCCTGTCTGTCTGTCTCTCCGGTGAGCACACGTGCCCTATGGCAAACACTGAAAAAGAGAAACAGCTAGGTCTGCTGCTGTGCCCGCGTTTGGGAGCTCTGCGTTAGGGCAGCAGTCTAGCTAAGGCTGCTTTACCCAAATGCGACCTCCTGAATCAGGTTTAAGATGGATGTATGCTGACGTTCAGGCCTAAAACGCCGTGCTGCCATGACAGTCTAGAGACCAGCAGCTGCTGCACGGCTGGGCCTGAGCGTGGCAGGGCATGGCCACTCCCAGCCGTACACCTTGGCCTGCCCTCCCCTTCTCTTGTGCTCTGGTCTCAGGCGCCGAGAGGCCCGTGAGCTGGGAAGCTCTGTTTCTGCAGAGGTGGGGTGGACCCGGTTCTGGCTACTGGATCCTTCGATGGAGAAAGCTGAGTTTGGAGGACGTGGGGAGGCAGCCTGGTGCGGAGGCCGTGAGGTCAGACAGAGCCGGGACTCCATCCTGCTCGGCTCTGCCCTCCTCCCATTCTCCGTCTCCTCTCCTGCACACGGAGAGCCCCGTCCAACGTGGGGCATTGGTGCCCGAATTCCTGATGCTCTCTTGCTCCCTCCTGCTCTCAGGCAGCCATGGGCCTGGACATCACTGAGGGCCTTTAGAAACATGGAACCCAGGCCCTGCATCGGGCCTGCTGCAGCAGAACCCAGTGTCAGCCAGGCCTCAGGTGAGCTGTCTCTTCCTTCTGCAGCAGCCTCTGTGACCTCTGTGACGATACTTACAGAAAGCTTTTTTACGGCATAGTTGACAGCAAGCTATCTGATAATCACATTTCCCGTCTCCTTTTTCTCCAAATGTCATTAGTTAACTGTCTTATTAAATATTTCTAAAGATAGCCAGTGAAGTGTTTGTATAAACATTGGGAAGTGAAATTTTATCGAGTTCTTACAGACGCAGATAAACTAATTTTCAAAACTGGCCTCCTCTTTCCGCCAATGATTATATAAATATTATGACAAGTGCAAAATCAGTAATGATCCACACAGTGCAACAGCCGGTCTGAAATCCAGCTACTGATCCGGGGAGGCTCAGGAAAAGCCCTGGGAGAGACGCGGGGACGGGTGTGGACGCCTGGCGTGGGCGAGGGGCTGGGCCACCCCTCCTGCAGGGCCGTGCCCGCGCCTGTGACAGGAGCAGCAGCTCAGACAGCTCCCAGGGCTTCCGCGTCTCCAGCATTTAAGGTCCTATGAGCTACTTCTCGGCCAGAGCAGGGGCTATCTGCTTCCCCTTCACTCCCTGCGCTTAACCCTCCCTTGATCCGCACCAGGCCAGCTGCTGGGATCCAGTGTCTATGCAGCAGGCGGAGGAATGGATGCCCCTCCGTCCTAGCGCGTGAGCGGGGCCTTAGCACCCGGCAGGGCGGCCAGCTCCTGCTCGCCCGTGAACAGCTGGCGGCCCGGCCCGGCTGCTCACCGCGTGCAGTTGTGTGTGAAGCACGGCAAAGCCAGAAATAGGCTGAGTGCCACCGCGGAGGCCGCCGTCGGGGCATTCAACTCAGCTGTCAGGACGAGAAGGGGGTCACCATGGCAACAGCAAAATGAACATGTAGAAAGCCTTCTGAGGCTGACAGAAGTGGAGACTGACCAAACATACATTTCCAGTCCCTGTCTCTCGATCTTTGGGTTTGAGTAGTTCAGTGACGGGAGGTAAGCGTCTTGGTAGAGCGTTGCTGGCCCAGTACTGGGCTCCAGCACCGCGAGGAAAATGCTGCTGCCTTGTCAGTTCTGTGCTCTCCGTAACTGAAGGGTCGTGTGCACAAACGCCACCCTGTAATTCTGAGCGGAGAGGCTTTTCCCTGCTTGATTCTGCCATGGGTTATGAAACCAGTCGTGGGCAGGGCTTGGCATGAGGCATTTATTGCAGTCTGATGAGAAGGCAGGGTATGGAATTCTCTGGACGTCAGTGGAACTTGGTGGAAACAGCTAACACTGGGGAAGGAGCCAGGGAGATGTCTCTGCAGTACAAGTTCCCGTGGCAGCTCACAGCCACCGGGGCCCGCAGGCAGCCCACGACGGAGGTCCGCAGGGCTCACGGCACCAGGTGCCAACGCGGCAGTAAGTCCCGATACAGCTGTTCCTGCTCACGGAGCTCTCGCATCTCATCGTAGACCCACGTTGCCCAGGGCCGGCCTGGAGCACAGTGGTGAAGTGCTATCTGTGGCAAGCCAGATCCCACAGGGCCGACTTTGGTTCGAATCCTGGCCCCGGCAGATTGAAAGATGTGCCCGATGTGTGTGAAGGTGTGTGGCCAACACCCTGACAAGAGGGAGAGGTGGAGGAAAGGCATTACAGGACGACAGAGCCCCAGTGCAGGCTGCTTTCTCTGTCTCTCTGGCATGCGGAGGTGCCTGCTGGCAGAAAAAAACAAAAACAAGAGCGGAACCTACCCCAGCATACCAAATGTCCAGCATCTTTCTGTCACTTGACAGAGGAACATCTAGTTGGGTTTCGGAAGATGTGGTACTGGTCCCGGCTCTTTCACTGTCTGTGGGACCCTGGACAGTCCCTCACCACCTGGCTCTGGGCCACGGCGGAGGGGTCTCCCACGTTTTCCTTGAGCAGAGACCTTGTAGAGTTGAGGAAGGGCGGAGATGATTTGCTGAACACCCACTTTGGACCATGCTCTGTGTTTGGGTTTCAAAATCCCTTTGGCCTTGAGGCTGGCAGGCGGTGCAGTGGTTGGGGCACTGGAGTCCCACGTGGCCGACTGCAGTTCGAGTCCTGGACCTGGTGCTCACTTTCTCACCCTGCCCCCACCCCAGTGAGAGCACATGCCCTATAGCAAATTAAAAAAACAAACAAAAAACAATAATGATAAATTAAATGAAATAATTAAAAAAATCATTTTGGAATCAAACTGGCAGTATCGTTTTTAGATCCGTTTCATAGATGTGGACACAGGCATGAAGAAGCCATGCTGAGTGACAGGGCCTGATTCAACCCTGGGCTGTCTGATGCCACATGAGGTCCCCGCTTCTCAGACAGCCTCCCCCTGCCCACAGCCAACTCTCGCCTCTGGGTCCACGGACCGACTCTGGGGTGTTAGTGACGTTTCCCGGAGCCGTCCACAGACTTAACGCACGCCACAGTTTCTCATACACGGAAAAGGGCCCTCGGAAAGGCCTCTGCCACGCCCCCTCAGCGAGACAACCCTGCTTGTGGTTCTTGCCACGCAGACACGCGCTCTCCTGCCACCTCTGCTCTCGGTTACCGATCACGAACACCTCGTGTCAATAACCAGAACAGCTCTTCCCCTTAGGAGGCCTGCGTACCGCACTAGATCAGCCCCTTGCCGCTGGGCATTCCAGTGGTTCCGACTATGTTCTACCTTCACAGAGACGGAAAAACAAAATTTGGAAAAAAAATACTGGGATGGTGAAATAATTCTTTAAGGAATCATACTAAGTTCAAAAGGAAACCAAGAGCCTCACTTCATTCATTGTTGCGATTTCGTCAAATCACCACTTCAAAGCTACAGCGTCTACACCATCCCCGAATGACCAGACCACGGTCACATGGCGCAAGTGACCTGCACGCCATCTTTGGGCTCTGGGGCCAACGATTCTTCGCAGTGACCCTCAAGGCCGCGGTACAAATGCAGCGGGGCTATTGATACGGGAAGAGCAGTCGACGGCTACCTGAAGGGGTTCTGGCAGGAGTGAAACGGACGCCCCGGAGCAAACCTGCTTCTGCGTGAGCTGAGGGCCCACAGCTGGTACGAGCAAACCTGCTTCTGCGTGAGCTGAGGGCTCACAGCTGGTACGAGCCTCCCTCTCTATTTGAATAGCGCCCCCCTCCTGTGCCATGAGGAAATGCTCCTTCAGTGCTGCTCGCGAGCACAAAATCACAGCAAAAGCTGCTTGAAAATCCCGAGGCTTCGGTACCCTGCTCTGAGAGGTGCTGTGTGTACCTGACAGCCTGGGACCTTCCTAACAGGATTTCCTAGAGTCCAGTAAATCGTCCTCGCCATCACGTCTTCCCTCTTCTCTGTGGCCAACACCAAAATTAACTAAGGCAAAGTGGCCAAAAAAGCAGAAGATACACATGCTTTAAAGCAAGAGCTGCATGTAAATCACGATCTCAGGTTAGTCATTTAAAATACTCGGTCACGGGAAAAGCCACGATGCATTACTGCACAGGAAAACAGAAAGAGGTGTTATAACGATGACCTATTATATTAATTTTTTAAATACATAAACGTTTTATAATTTCTCCTTGATGCCTTCTTCTTTTTTTACTTTTTAAATTCGTTTTAAATGCAGGGGGTTCTCATCGCATCATGGTACTCATGCCTCAGCCTCGCAGAGACTGGAGTGTGTGCGACCACGCTCCGCCCTCTCCCAGCCAGGGCCTGCCTGCTTCATAGGGTGAAGGTAGAGAGCTCACTTCCCGTGAAGGGTCAGAGACAGGCCACTCCCAGGGCCCTGCCAGCGGGAAGGAGCCTGGCGGACTGCGGTGGCTCTTCCCGATTGCTCACAGCAGCTGGCACTAGCCACGGGCAGTACGTGGGCCATCCCCACATGAGTGCATGCCTCACTTTCCTCACTCAGTCCGCAACTGTACACGCCAGACACGGGAGGACGGGGAAGCGCGTCCGTAAGCGGGCGACAGGAAGCGACGCGCATGACACGAGCTCTTACGGCAGCGTGGAGGTTACTGGGCGGCTCCGCAGAGCGGGCACAGATCATTCCTAACTCAGACTACAGAACCGTCACAAGTGCAGCATCTGCGGACTTCCTGCATCCTTGTTAAAAAGATCGTTCTCATGGTCCTGGTGCTCTGGGCTCAGCCTCCGGAGTAGCCAGGACTACAGAAACCCATCGCGGCTCCTGGCTTTCTGGGGTAGACCCGGAATCGAACCTGGGCCTTCCATGTAGCCTCAGCCTTCCAGGGGCGGTGCCCACCCATGTGCCCTCTGTGGCTGGGTCCGAGACTTTCTCACGTGACATACATGTGACTCACATGTAACTGGGTTTCAAAGTGGGACATTCCTTAGAATGGAAGCTCAGGCACAAGTAGGCAAAGGCCACGCATTCAGGTGGGGTTAAAGACCATGTACCAGCGAGTTAAAAATGAAGAAGTCGTCAGAATCGCAATCTCATCAGTGCCCACAGACAGGCTGGCAAGCGGCACAGCCAACTGGCCGATCCTGAAAGCTCAGTGCTGTGCTCTGGGCTGAGGGACACGGGCACTCACAAAAGCCAGCGCGGTGCTGAGGAGTGGCGCCGACAGGCACAGTGCCGGGTTTCGAATTTCCACTCCACTCACAGTGGTATATTCACTCTCTGTGCTTCAGCTTCCTTCCTGTGTAACCTGATAGTAAGAGTACTTCTACTGGGCCAGAGGTGGTGTGGCGGCTAAAGGCGCTAGACTCCCACAGGGGCAACTGTGGTTCGAGTCCTGGCCCTGGCAGCTTGCTTTCTC